CCAAGGCATATACGAACTGATCCCTTAGTAACAACTTGAGGAGATCCGGTGGTGCAGTTGGGTAGGCCTTGTATGCCATGCTTTCCAAGTCCTGAGCCAGCTCTTGCAGGCTCTCCCCTTTAGCACGGACTCTCGTCCTGAACCTGACCCTGTAGACTTCTGACTGATTTTTGGTTCCATACCTAAGTTCTAGAGCCGACACCAGTGCTCTATAGTTGTGCCTGTCGTCTGCTGACAACTGTCCAAGTATTTCCAGTGTTTGTCCCTTCAAGCTAGTTGCCAGATATACTGCTTTCTGCTCCTTTGTCCATCTATTCATCTCTGCCAGTAGCTCAAACTGTGCTCTATATGCTTCCCTTGGTGCTTTCCCATCATATTACTGTGGCTTCCTTCGCACTGGATCACTCCTATTACTAACATTCATATCTGGGATGTGACTTCTAACGGGTCTGAATATGTCTGCATTAGGGTTTAGCTGCAGGCTCCAGAAGGGGCTTTCCATTGTCTGTGGCTGATTAAGTCGATGGTTAATGTATCCTCCTTGTGTAAAAGAAAATAATTCGTTCTTTAATGTATCTAATTCACTTTTAAATTTACTAATGTTTTCCATTTGTACTTCTTGTTTCCTTTCTTGTTCTAGTTGCCACTGCTGTAATCTATCTTCTTGTTTCTTTTCTTTTTCCTCCAACAACTGCTGTAATCTCTCCTTTTGTTTATTTTGTTGTTCGAGCTGCCACTGTTGCAGGTTTTCTTGCAACTGCTGTTGTCTCTCTTCTTGTTTATTTTCTTTTTCCTCCAACAACTGTTCTATTCTCTCTTGTTTCTTTTCTCGTTCTTCTTGTTTCTTTCTTTTTCCTCCAACAACTGCTGTAATTTCTCTTGTATATTTTGCTGTTCGAGCTGCCACTGTTGCAGGTTTTTTTGCAACTGCCGTTGCCTCTCTTCTTGTTTACTTTCTCATTCTTCTTATTTCTTTTGCTGTTCTTGTATTGCTGCCATCAAATCTGCTAAGCTGTAGTTTGATTTTCCGCCTCACGTTTCCATTTTTTTTGTCCCACTCTCTGACACCAATTTGTTATGTTTCCGTTTGCTTGTTAATTTTCCGTAAAATCGTTCCGACGAAACTTTAGCGACACAAGTCCTTTCTTAAATGAAACTGGTTTATTCTTTACGAATACAACTTTACGATACACTTAATTTCAACAGTCGCGCTAAAACAAACGCTATAACTCACGTTTCACGTGGCCTACAATATTTTTTCCGCATACATTCAATTACTCATTACCTCTGTTGTCCCGTCACGTTGTGAACGTCTTATATATACGAGACTAACACATATCTAGTAAATGGTAGGGCATTCTTGAAGGAACAGGATATTTCTAGAAAACGTGGCGTGATACTAGTCACGTGACCTCGCTGACGCAACAATGGGAAGGCCCATATGATATAGTGGATCGTCTCTCAGACTTGACTTTCCGGATAAAATGTGGTCGGCAAGGTAAGCCAAAGGTGGTGCATGCCAACAGGCTTTGCCGTTATCATGGTTGAGGACATTTCAGTTGGGATGAAGTAAACAATGGAACAAATGACGCTGCTGAAGACGTGTCACTTGAAAAAGCCACTGTCGAAGAAGAAACTCGACTCGGTTTTGAGAAGGGAAATGGTGAAGCCCTTGATGAAGTTACTACCACTGATATGACTGTTACCAATGATAGGACATTTCCTGATGAAGAAGATGAACCCCATATGAAGCAGAAGCCAACGAGACGGAGACCAGTACGAAAGAAGATACGTCTTGTAAAATTAAGAGACTTTGTTGTATTTTAATTTTGTGTTTGTAAAGGGGCAGTGTTACGACAGCGGGGTCACGTGACACCAGTAACACATCATACTCTCGAACGTTCATGTCCCTTCCTGAAATCTCGAGAGGCTACTAGATATGCGGTAGTCTTGTATATATATAAGCCGCCAAGAAATGACGGCAACAATGTGTAATTGTCAGTTGAGTCGAGCACGTGAGACGTTTGTTGTGTATTATAGCATTTGTTATAGCGTGACTGTGGAAATTAAGTGTATTGCAAAGTTGTATTTAGAAAGAATAAACCAGTTTTATTTAAGAAAGTACTTGTATCGCTAACATTTCTTCGGTAAAAAGTTTTACGGAAAATTAACTAACGACCAGAGACGTAATAGTTCGATGAATGCAGTAGGCACAGCTCAGGCAGCCAACTGTCAAGCTTTGTGAAAAATAAAAGATAAAA